CAAAAGTGAAAACTACTTAAATTGCCGACTCTTAATTGGATTTCCATTTGATGTTGTGTTTAGTTAGTCAATGTTCAATTGCAAGCAAGCATTAAATAAATTTCAATGAAATTCATTAAAACCGCAAATGCAAACAATTATATTTATGTGTTTAATTTACACTCAATTCGTGTTGTTAGAATCAACAGAAATTGCGGAATTTATTCAATTTATTCAATTTATGCTAAAGAGTTGCAAACAATATGAAATCGTAGAAAAACGCTAAATAAATCGAGTCTCATCGACTGCCCTACACATGTGCAGTGCAGTAAAATAGCTAAGCACAGCAAAACATATTCTTATCTGCGGCAAATACTGGGATATCGATTTAGATATAGATTTGGAAATCGATATAGTATCGATATACATATGTAGTTTCAAGATCTCAACACTTCTGATCCTTGAAGCTACATATATACTAGCATATAGAATTTTAAATCAGAATGATTTCATCTGTTGTACAAGTTAAAGATTAAAGTTTGGGTATTTCATTCTCTAATCGAGCGTATTCACACTTCCTCTTCATGTTCAAAACTTCAAATCTTTTAGTTTTGCATCACACGAATAAGCCTGACCAACTAATATGCCCCATTTTACTTTGCTAGTGAGTGTAAAACGTCAAATAGATTTTAAGTAAACATTATTTACGATATAATATATTTTCACTTACGATATTGCCCTTAAATTAAAAAACTATTTCAATGCACAAAAGTATGCTACTATTTTAATAGAATTCGTTGCATTGGAACTGACGGAACTAGTTCGTGAATAGTTACAAAGTAAATGGCTTATATTAGAGTGTTCAATAATATTGCTGAATGCTATTGATCATTTGGCCTGTTTAACGGGATTGTAGATAGTCATTGTAATTTAAGTTAGTCCACTTAGGTAAACAGCTCTATAATTGTCGTATAGTGGACTCGGATGAAAGTTATTAGAAGAGCCGCATCAAGTGCTTTCTAACCTAGTTAGAGTTTCTCTTCTGGAATCCAATTTCGTTTGAGCTGAGCTGACATTGTAAACTAATCTCTGTCACATGCAGCGCGTGTCGCAGCGGATTTGTGTAATTATTATGCAACAAGTATTGTTGTCGAGAGCAGAGCCAAGCAGCTTACAACCAGCACGCATTCGTGTGTGTTGAGCGTGTCTGCTATGGCTGAATGCAAAATTCGAATAGCCAGAGTCGTGGCAAGAGCGCATACGAAAATTTCCATAGCCGGAACTGGCGGTGGTAAGCCCAAGACGAACGGAGGAGAGTCAGCGGCTGCAACGCTGAGTGTTACATGTCAACACCATTGTTGCACAAGCCGCAGCGCGTTAACTCTCCCTGGACGCATTTGCTGCTTTCAAGTCAAAGAGACAGCCGCTGGCAACTCTGTAAGCTGAGAGAGAGAGAGAGAGAGAGAGAGAGAGAGTGAGGGAAAGAGACAGAGTATGCGTGTGTGTGTGGCAGCTACGTGATTGTGCTGCCAATGCCACAAAGCAGCGCCGCGCACTAAGCGACGTTGATGGCCGAGGCCAAAATGCAATGTTGCAATTTGCCAAATTGAAAACACGAAAATGAAAGCGCCAGCTCGACTACAAAGTAGCCGCCAAGTTAATTTACGCTAACGCGTAGGCAGTAATGGCCGCATCCGCATCCGCACTTGCACTTGCACTTGCGCCTGCACAGCAACAATGCGGTCACTAATTCTCTAATTTCGAGCGGACCCCACTCGACCTGGCGCATGCACAACTATAAAGGTGAAACCGCTTCAGGCGCAGCCCAGCCCAGCCCAGACCAGCCCCGCCCCGCCCATTTTCGCATTGCCTATTTATGGACACACGCTGTGGCTGTTGAGCTTCATTTGCATGTTGCAGCTGCAACTGCAGTTGCAACTAATGTGCGGCGTGGCAGCGAACATGTTTGCGGCGCAATTTAATTAAAAATAACTGCTGCATCAAAAACAAAAAACAAAAAACGCACACATACACATTTTTTAATTAACGGAAATATGAGCCAGCTCGCTACTTTGTATATATGTGTGAGTGTGTGTGTGAGTTTGCCTTGAGCAATTTGCCTTTGAGATGTGAATTGTTAGTAAATATTTAAGAGCTTCATTTGCATTTGCACCTATTTAACACACTGCACGTGTGTGTGTATCTGATTTGTTTGGCTTTGTTCAGTTTATTTACTTTCGTTTCGTATATTTGTCGAGCTTAGGCGCTGCCGCAGCTCATTTCCGGTCAAACTTTCATGAACTGGCTTTGTGTGTGTGTGTGTGTTTGTAGCTGTTATGTTCGCATAATTTACCACATATTTGTGGCAAACTAATTGCGGCACACGTCAGCCACGTTACCCCGTTCGCTCGCTGCCCCACTGCCCCGCTGCACTGCCAAACAGCTGAGCATCCGTGTCTAAGCTATGCAAATTTACTGCGATGCTTTGTTGACTGATAGCACAGCACAGCAGCTAGCAAAGTGGCGACTCGGCCCGTCCGATTTGCTCTGAGCACGTTTGCATTGCATTAATTAAGCAAATTCGCATACAATGGGAGCAGCGCCTCAGTCGGAATGCGAGGGAGTGTGTAGCGTCAGGGTCCTGGGTAGCAGCAGGACGACTCCTTCTGGCTGTTAGATGCCCAAGATGATTGAACATTGAGATTTAATTGATTAGCAGCAATATGATCACGACATAAGTGAACACTTTGCATTTGAATTGACTTTGGCTATGAGTTTAATCGCTGCTTTTGATTTTGTGGTCAATCTGCTGCTGCAGACGCCTGAACGCTTACGGGACATAAAAAGAAAATTTGTTAGCCGCAAAGCGCATTAAAATCTTTAGTGTTGACATTAAATCTGAGAAGTACTCTGGCTGAAAAGCGGGGGTATGTGCAACATGGCTGCAGCCACGCCCCAGTCACAAACAGTAACATGGCCGCCCATAAAACGTTGGCGAGAGCAAAGCAATTTCACACGCTCATGAATGGCAAAGTGATGCATACAGAGAAGGACAGGGACAGAGTGAGAGAGAGAGAGAGAGAGAGAGAGAGGTAGAGAGTGAGTGGGAGAGAGGGGGGAGGGGAAGGGGAGAGTTGTCCTTATAGAGCAGAGTTCAAGAATTTATTACCCAATTTGAAATTGCAAACGAGTGCGTGATAAAGCTCGATGTAGTTGCTGTGGGCTTAGTCATTGTTGTTTGCATATACCCTGCACCGAGCGACGATTAGAATATGCCAGACAATGAAGATCTGAGCCGGCTAACAACAGCTAGGGTAGCAGCTAGCAACCCTTTTGTTGGCCATTGTGTTTTATTCAAAACAGCATTGTTTATGACAAGCGGAAAGCAGAGTGAAGAGAGCAGAATGCAAGGCAAAAACCGAGTCAATCGGTTGGACGAGGCGAATGGGGGAATGGAGGAGTGGGGGGCTCGTGTGCAAACAGAATGTGAAAACGGAGGCGAGCATGCAACAAACAAACATGGCTAGCACATAGTCGGAAAGCCAATCTATTTTTTCATGGTAAAAGGTGAAAATGTTCAGCAGCAAATGGAAATGCATAAGGCAGCTGGCAGCTCGATTAAATGGCAGCGACTCCCAGCCCCAAAAACTTTAGTTAAACATAAAGTCAAGGCGATGTGGCAAGTGCAGCGCATAGAAGTTGCGCACGTGGCGAATGCCGCGAGCCGTTCTATGCAAATGCCAAAAGCCATTTTAATGCAAATGCGCAATGGAGTCCCCAGTGGCCCATTGCCCCATTGCCCCTGCCATAGCCCTAGCGGAAGCGTTTTTCCTCGATTTCATTTAAATGTATTTTTCCTCTCTTCTTTATTTGTTTTATTTATTTATTTTTTTTTTTTGTTTTTTTTTTTTGTCATATTTTGTTTGCGTCTTTGCTGGCTGTGAAATGTTGCCGCACTGTAAGTGGCAATTCGCTAGTCCCCACCATGCCCCATCGTCTCTCGCCACACGCCCAAAATTTGCATATGACATTGGTAAAAGCAAAGCTCGATTGGTTGCTCCCTCTTTCTCCCTCTCTCTCTCTCTGTCTCGCTCTCTGTCTCTTTCTCTCCCACTGTTTGGCCTAAAGTGCACCTTGTGGTCATAAATTTTGCATGCTCCAATGAAGCATTTAAATGTATTTCCATCTCGAGTTGTGTGATAGAATAAACAAATTTATTACATACAAAGGAAATAAATCCAATTTCATATACATGCATGCATATGTCTTCCAGATTCTCGCCATTCGTTTAAAATTCATTTCGCTTGCGCAAAAACAATTGACATTTTGAGAATTGCCAAGCTCAAGCGAAATGGCATTCAAATAATAGATTGGCCACATGAATGTGGCTGGAATGCCAGTAAGAAATATTGCCAGGAAAAGGAACTTACTCCGAGTGACTGGCTTAAGCCACTCTTTTGACTTGATAATAACAATCTAATCTGAGAAAACCTGAAATAATTCTCTGCTCATTTGGCCTGTTGGTTTACAGAAGATTGGTTTTTGCTGCTTTATTTTTTCAATAGCAGCCATAGTTGATGGCATATATCGATTGGAATGGCTCATGATGAGGATTTATAATTTTGAAAAGCGAATAGCTCTCATGGGGGGAATACAGATTTTGATTGAAATTGAATGCAATCAGCTTTGTAAATGGCCAAACACCAATGCAGGTTAAGCTGAAGGAATGTGAAACTTTTCAAGAAAAAGTAAATAGATAGTGAATAGAAATTATACATAGAAATCTGAAACATAAATATATTTATTACAATATATTCATTTAAATTAATATATGGAAGCAGACCTCGCCATTCTCATCCCGAATATTTCCCTTTTTATGACTTATTCATCATAATAGGTGCTCCATGATATATAGCTTCAAAACTATTGTATAATGTTGGCCAAGAGCTAACCAAATGTTCCCCTTCAACTAACTGAGTAATCAACCATGAAAAACTAACCTTTTGTTCAATCTCTTGCAGCTTAAGTGAAATCAAGTTGACAGCACGTGGTCGCAAATCAAACAGAAATGAACTGTTAAATGGCTGCCGAGGCTTATTTGTGCGTCAATATTTAAAGCCGGCAATAGAAGGACTGAGGCGACGGCTCCCGGGACTGAGGCGAACGTGCATGAACCGAGATCTGGAGGCTAATGTAACGAACACAGCCACAAGGGCTGAAGATGACACAAAGCCATTTGCGGGGCACAGTTTGAGTTGGTCTCGTCATCAATTACCCCTTCCCTGCGTGGTCCCATTAAGGTCGTGTAGCCAGCCAAACAGCAGCGGAGGCAACAATAGGCAACAGGCGACGGCAACAGGTCGTCAAGGAGCTCAACCAGCCTCACCCATCCCACTCAGTCATATAAGTGGGCAGCTACGTGACTTTGTCAGCCCACGCAGCTGGAGCCGCAGTCGAGCGTTTAACTGAAGAGCATCGCCCACTCAGTGAGCCTAGGCTGGGCCCGATTCACCTGATGTGGGAGCATCAGGTGTACTGAATGTATGCAAGTGACTTGGTAACCATTGCCGCTGCTGCCGTTGACACGATAACTAACAATCATGACCGATGTGTCAGCTACCGCGGGCAAGGCCGGCGATCGAGTCAGCTCCACAAGCTCCGAGGTGGCTGTGGAGACAACATCTGAAGCGCTAACCAATGGTGCCGCAAAGGAACCACTGACAGAAGTAACAGCAGAAGCAACAGCAACAGCAACAGTCACAGCAACATCAACAGCAACAGTCACAGCAACAACAAATGCTGCAACAGCAACAATTGCAACTGCAGCCATAAGCAAGCAAGCAAAGTCCGAATGCCATTCACAAAGCAACAACAATCAGCATGTGGAAACAGCTCCGTCAAAACAATCCAGCGACAGTGAAACGAGTGCGCCTACGACTGTGTCTATTCCATCAGCAAATGCCAAAACCAACAGCAGCAGCAGCGGTAAGACGACGGCCACACAGCAAGATGTGGACGAGGTGGCTCGCCTGTTCGAAGAGAAGCCCGAGGCCTTTGAGAAATGGCTAACGGAACGTGCACCGCCCGAGGCGCTGAGCCGCCTGCACGAGTTCATTGAGAGTCGCAAGCCGCACAAGCGGCCCTCAGTCACATCGGATTTGTTTCAGCAATGGATGGCCTCGCCCACCGTGCAGCAGGTTGGTGTTTCTTAAATTCTTAAGTAGCCTACATTATAAGTCTACAAACATATACTATATATATAGCATACATCTTGGAGTATCCGAGTAGCTGAATGTGTCAGATATACAGAAGTATAAACCCAGTTTGCTGCAGCGTAAGCTGGTGTTGCAATAAATTCGTTAACCACAACTGCAGCAACATTTGATATTTAATTCATCACAGGCGTCAAGTGGCGACCGCAGCAGCTGCACTCAAGTAAAACTTTTTGTGCAACAACAACCACCTCGTAGGATATAAAAAATACTTACAGTTAGAAGGTCTATGCAGTCGAGCCATGTCTGTGCTCTTTGCCCGTAATATATACGATGTAATAGAAAATGATACAGGTGATATAAAAATATAGATATTCGAGTCAGATTCAATAATTTGCTGTTAGCTGAAGTTTGAAAGTTTCACTGTTATAATATTAAGCATACGCCCAGCTACGCCAGCAGGCTAACTGTTTTAGTCTATCGAATGTAGATTGTGAAAGCATTGCATGTGAAGAATTGTGCTATTAAAAACAACTTGCAACTTGACCCTGATCCAATTGATTGCTGAAGTTTTGTAATATCGAAAGCTCATAGACAGCAAGCAGCTGCTCAAACACATATCAGAGGCATGCTGGGGTATTGGAATTTATTTCAAAATTTAATTCGGCTATTAAAACATAGTCGGGTTGCCGTTGTCATCATCTAGATTCTTTCCAATTTAAACACGCACAAGCCTGCGGTTTCTATTGCTGTTCCTCATGCGGTTCCTCCTGCGGTTCGCCATAATTTGAGCTCGGCGTATTTGGGCAGCTTGTTGTCGTGCGCGATTCCTACGCCTTAAATTCTGCCTACGGTGCCGCCTTCTCATCCGTTGGATTTGGTTACGCAAACGCCTAACTATCGCCTCAGTCTCGGCCAATTGGGCAGCCGTTGCTGCTGCATCAGAGTTAGCTGTTCCGGAATTATCAGAGGGACTGCTAATTGACGGTGTTGCCGCTGGGTTTCCACTCGTCGGTGGCGCCGTATTCGGCGCAGTATTTGGCTCTGGTGCTGGTGTTTCTTTGCAGCTTGGATCAGATTTATTTTCGTCTTCTTTGCACTCGTCTGGAGTGCACTGCGCAGGATCCTTACATGTAGCATAGCTTCCTTGGATTACACAAATAGCCAAAACGGCACAGCCAAAGATCAGAGGTTGGATCCTCATCTTGATGGTTTGGATGATAGGCTTGAATGTGAAGCACTGATCCGAGCTGCCCATTTTATAGCGAATTTGAATTTGTGAATTTGTGAATGGGTGTTTACTTTTTGCTTACGCACGCTGCTTTTACCATTTGTGCCAACATTTGCCACATTTTAATAATTAATTTCTTTTTGTTTGTGATGACCATCCCACTTAAGTACAATTCAATTAAATTTTAGGCTTGTTCAATATTAAAACAGTTGTTTTTTTTTTTTCTTTTTTAATAATAAATATTTCGCTATCTAATGCACGTCATTGTGCTTTATTGAGATCTTTTTATATTTTAGCTCTCAAAGTATTTATTTGCTTAGGCTATAGTTCTGTATACAATGATGATCATGGCAACATGTGAAATTTAAAAAAAAAAAGCAAGTTCGAAATCGAGCTGAACTGACTGCTGAATACTCGTCCATAGTCGAAGCTGAAGAAAAATATTGTTATAAAATATATATAAACAAGTAAGAAGGCTCCAGTCGAGACTGCTCGACTAGGAGATACCCTGAACCCTCTAAGCTGATATTCTAATTATTCTGCACCTCTTTTATGCACACATACATACACATGCATCCACACGCACGCATAAGCCTGCGCTCTGCTAACTGCGCAGTAAGCAGCGACTGCGCTTGGGCTGCGCTGCAGTGTGGGCAATATTATGAGAATTTATTTGTCGAATAATTTCTTTTGTAAACATATGATCTTAATGAAACTTTCAGAGTGTAATCATATGGTAAATATGTGTGTACATTCCAAAGCACAAGTCTCTAGTACTTGAAATGCGTTTTTTACAAATTGGGGGAGAAGGGGGCGTGGTATCCAAAATCTGTAAATTACAAAATCTTTGTATCGATTAACTTTATATACAACACAAATTTGAAGACTCCAGGTCTAAAAATGTTCAAATTAGGCTAAAAAAACAAAATCAATTTTTCGATTATTCTCGATAAAAAAGTTATCGGACGATTTATCGAAAAAATAAAGCAAACTCGTACTGCGTATGGTACACACGAGTATGCATGCCAAATTTCAGCTCTCTAGCTCTTATAACTTCTGAGATCGACGCACTCATACGGACGGACGGACGGACGGACGGACAGACGGACAGGGCTATATCGACTCAGCTCGTCACGCTGATCAAGAATATATATACTTTGTGGGGTCTGCCACGCCTCCTTCTGCCCGTTACATACTTTTTCACAAAACCATTATACCCTGATTTCCCATTTTCAATGGGTTCAGGGTATAAAAAGGAGATCAACATGGATTTATTAGGAAAAATTTTAACTGTTAGTTCTAAAAACTGAACATGATCCAGATAGTGGTCAAAATATTCCAACAAACCTTGATTTTGCCTTTTTCTGTAATTTCCATTGATTTGTTCACACATATAAGAAACGCCAGCATTTTTATATTTCTTTGGTGTTCTCTACAGACATTAGCACATCGCCTTGAGTGGAGCGTAAGAGGTCTGCATATGACACGAGACAAAAGCTCACTGCTATTTATAACGGTTCACCCAGCTTATCACATTCTTTTAAAGTATATCTTTAGTTGTAAATTAATATTTAATGAAATCGTACGCAACTAGGAGTTTTTAACAGCCTGAGATCATTTCTTCGCCTGTTGATTCCGTTATCACTTATGGCAGTTTAGCATAAAAAAAAAAATAATTAATTAAAGTAATACAGCAATCTTAAATTCTATTAACAGTTACTGGGTTAGTCTTGAATAGGCGTGATCGTGTTATCAAATAACGTGCCTAGCTTACTGGCAATCTATTCTTGATTATATATATATATACATTGGAATCCGGTTATAACGACTCCGCTTAAAGGGCCCAACCGGTTATGTCGACGAAAATTCGATGTCTTGGTTGGTCCCCATACAAACTTATATGAAAGAGTCTCCGCTTAGTACGTCTCTGCTTTTAACGACAATTCGCTTATCCCGAAGATTTTTTTTTTTTTTTCATATTTTAGAGTCATTCACCGGATATTACGACGTGCCGGAAAAAAGCGAAATAATGACAACAAATTTAAGCATTGAAAGATCAGTGGGTACATAGCAGCGACTCAAATGCTAAGACACAGAGAGAGAGAAAGAGACACAAGCTGCAAGTATCGTAGTTCAATTAAAGTGTATATTGTCACTAAGAGAGACAACAATAGCTGTTGCTGAACGTGGTCCCGGGTGTCGCTAGGTGAGAGCGAGACGGCTAGTTATGTCGTTCACAGCAGGGTCGCTGTGCTTTCGATGAACAAGAATATGCGACCATGATTAGAAGTTTCGAGAGTAGAGGAAAATCACACTTGGTCAAAGACTATTGAACGAGAAAGAGCATTAAAAAGAGTTTAGCGACACACCGGAAATTCTTTGATACGCGCAGCTAAAATGGAAAACATGAATGAGAAACGCAACGCCCCGACATATATAAATCATTGTTGTTTTGATTACAAAATTATTTTTTTATACCCTGAACCCATTGAAAATGGGAAACCAGGGTATAATGGTTTTGTGAAAAAGTATGTAACGGGCAGAAGGAGGCGTGGCAG